TTTGTACACAATCCCCCTTCCAGCCAAACGATCTTGCTTATCTCGTCCCATCTTGTTCATTTAAGAATTAAGTGATGTCTTCCTCCATTCCTCTTGTAGACTTTATCCCTCAAGCCATTATAGTCTGGCCTCACCTAAACTTTCTCCTGCTGAGGTCTCTAGTGACCTCTCTGTTGTTAAACCAAGCAGTAGCCTTTCCTTCCTTACCACGCTTGACCTCTTGAGTGTCATTTGGCACTGACGGCCACTTCCTGTTCCCCGAAACACTCTCTGTCTTGAATGTCGTGCATCCCACCCTTCTGGTTTTTCTTCTGTCTCCTTGGCCTCTCTGGTCTTGATTATAGAGTTCTCTTCCTTTTCTTAACCCTTAAAAGTTACTGTTCCACGGGGCTCTCCCCTTACCTTTAGATAAGGTAGAGAATTGACATGGCAGAAAATGTCATGAACATTTGTACTGGTTGAAGTTCCCTTGGTGGCAAGCAATGGAAACTGACTAAGGATAGGCCCCTGGGAACAAAGAGCTGACCAGTCACGCTTGGGGAAGGGCTTGAGAAGCAAAGGTAGTGGTAAGAATGTCAGCATCGGGATTGTGTGCCTACTTTCTAAGGATGGGTCAGTTCCAATGGCCTCATGTCTTTATCAGTCCCTTCCCTGTGTCTTTTGTTGTGTCTTGTATATTGTATCTTACAATATCTTATAAATCTTATGTGTTCTTTTAGACTCCAAAATGAAGCAGTGATTCCTCTATGAAGTCTGTCCTGATCCCTTTAAGAATTGTTGATTGCCCCTATCTCTGAGCTAGATTCATACCAAAAATGTAGCTGTATTATTTTACTCAAAGACCACAGTGCAATTGCTGCAGTCATGTGGTCTTTTTTTTTCTTCCTCTGGACTAAGAGAGATTTATGGGACAAGGCAGTGAATTCTTTACCTCACCCCAGAGCCTACCTAGCTCCCTCTCAGTTCTTCTAGATTGTTCCTCCCAGTTTTTAGGTTTTTAGTTTTGAAACAGTTTAGAAATTTAGAAAGTCGTGAATTCATAGGCCACAAAGTTCAAATAATGTAGTATATGTACAGATGCACATGGCTTGGCTTTAATTAATGTATCTTAATAGAAGAAAAACAATGTAGAGGTGTCAGTTTGTACAAGTATATTTTAAGAGAAAGATCCTTCTGTACTCCATATTACTCTAGATGTTATGTACATATGTATTTCTACACTTCATTTTAAGTTTTGACTCTGTATTAAATCTGACAGAATTTTAAACAAAGCCTGAAAAAAACATTTTGTGTTTTCTATTACACTTTAGCAAAGATGGAAAGTAGTGTTGACGTTTTATTATGAAGAAGATACATTGGCTTTATATTTAAGATAAATCATAAAATGTGTTGTGTTATGCTAAATGACAAGGCATTTAAAGTGTTGGTGACAAAAATAAACTAAAAGACTAGAAGAAGCAGAAATACGTGTAGAAAAGTTAAGAAATGAATAGCAAAGAATAAGCTACTTTGCTAAATTCTGTAAGAAGCTAACTATTTTGTACAGAGCTACGATTTAACTTATGTGTGAACCTAAAATACAAGAAGAATCCTTAGTAAATTATGTCTCTTAAGTATTCTAATTATTGTACCATCAACATCAGACATCCCTCTCTGAACGTGAACTAAGTCGTGTTGAAGTAGAACTGTTTATCTGCTTATCGTGAAAGAAAATTCTTCAAGCACTTACTACCTGTGCAAGTCTTATGCAGCAAAACTCTGTGTTAATGTACTAGTTGGTATACTAAATGCTGTAACAAATGACAACATTTCAGTAATTTAAAATGATAGTGCCTGTATAACAGTTTATCATGGGTGTTCCTGATGGATGGGTAGATTTCCTCCGTGTGGTGATTCAGGGCTCTAGTTTCTTCCCTCTTACGGCTCTCGCATTTTCTAGAGCATTGGAGTCCTCTGCATTTGGCTAGCAGATGAGTGAAGACGGCATACCTTCTTCACTTCTATATCTTAATCATCATTCCCCAAAACGATTTACCACTTTTCTTCATATTCCATTAGCTACAACTTTCATGTGCCCCTACTTAGATGCCAGGGGAGCTAGAAAATATGGCTGGCTAGCTGCTTCTTGGCACCAGTTCTATACTAGGGAAAGCATGGATCCTGGTGAACAAGTTAGATCACCTGCCATAGCTCACCCGTATAGCCAAGGTAACAACAATTCTGTTACCCTTCCGACTACCCATAGAATGCATTTACTTCAAGGGAGACAACCCAAAGCTTCATCCTGTCCTTACTTCCAGTTCAAAGTCCAGCATCTCAATCAGGTCCAGCTGTGGCTCTTTGCAGCCTGGTGCCCAATAAGCTAGGGTTCGTGTTCACTGCCTGCTGTTCCATCTCCCCTCCCCACCCTGCTCAAGCACAAATCCAATATATAGCAGTGGAGCAGGGGGCAGGAAAGCTACAATTAAGCTTCCCATTCTAAAAAAAGGTGAAGTGGGAAATACAGAGCAATACGTGTCCAGGGAGAGCAGTGAGATGCTGTCATGGCAGGCACTGTGAAGACACCCTGCCTGACAGTGTTCAGGATCTCTTGATTAGACCCTTATTATGCATCTGAAAAGAATTGTTTTGTCCTTTATTCTCCCTGGCCCTTTGGGCTCTACACATTTGGGTGCTTCTTCCTTGTCTGTTATCATCCATGGCTGAATCATGGAAAGGAGTATGATCACTTTCTCCTTCTACAATTTGGGAACCTGGTAACAATTTAACAGAGTTTGTTCACCAGTACCATTTTTAGAAGTAATAGATTTCATATCTCTGGGCCTTCATTTGTTACACATGGCAGTGTTTACACCTTTATTAGTCTGTCCAGAAAGACAGAAAATTCCAGGTCATTCAAATGGTGGAAATTTAACACGGGGAGTTAGCTACATGTGTGATAGAACAGAGAAGCCAAACAAACGACGGTGAATAAACCCAGAGGCTAACAATATCGGAAAACTGCTGCACACCCTAGGGATAGAAGGGCAAGGGGAAGAAGCGATATTACCAGATATTATCTGAGTTTTTAGCTTTGATAAGAAGAAACCATCAGCTCCTTATGGAGTCATCCATATTCTTTCATCTTTCTGTGTCCCCACAGAGCAAGCACTCAAATGTTTAACTGAACAGAGATACGCAGTAAATCCTTCCACCGACTTCAGTTAGAGGTACCCATCGGAAAATTAAAATGTGGCAGAAATGATGGTGTTCAGTACTGAGATGATCCTTAATTGGGGATAAACTGCAGTTATTTGGGGAGCTTTTTTAGTAACCCATTATTGGCATTTAGAGAATGAGAAATTGTCGAAAGTTTTAATTTAAATATTCTCTTCCTGTATACGACATTTAGAGTTTGGAACAATACCAATGTTCATATAAACATAGAAAGAAGAATTAAAAAGGAATAAAGTCTGTAGGTGGTTTGTGCCAAATTCTTTTTAAAAGGATGGGGTGGGGAGAAATAGAGAAAGCTTTTCAGACTTGCTGGGAAATAGCAGTAAGAGCTACAGAGGATGTATAGCTCTGTCTTAGTCTTTGACTCTTCTTGTGGAATCACCTGAGTTGAAAATGATATGCCTTTGTCTGCTGGTTTGAGCCAGAAATAGCTAATTTATTTTCCTTTACTGTTGTTTAAGAAAGAATCTGTAAAATATGCCATTGGCTATTTCAGCAGTCAAAAAGAACTTTCTAGAATCTGATCATAATTTTTGAAAACGTCACAAATGCCGTTTAATCTGCTTTGGGCTGAGCCCTTATATGCTGAAGTGTGTAGATATGCTGGACTGAACCTGGCTATGGATAGGTTTAAAAAAGTCTCAAAATAGTAGATATATTTAACAACTTGGAAGTTGGAGACTATGACTATGTTGTTTTTCCTAGAGAGAGAAAGAGCCTTGCCTGAAGATTTCTCCATGCATATTTTCACTCATACATGGAAATGAAGATTTTTTTTTTTGACAGAGCATGTCAAATTCAGTTGCCATGATGTGCTCTGAAAACATTTTATCATATCTGAGCATGTTTATCGTTCTTTCATTTTCTTAGAAACTTCAAGCTTTTTTACTTTTCACGTTGCTTTAAAATAAGAAATGGCTTAAAATATGATGTACTGCATTTCATATCTTCATTTTATCCTTCAGAATATAGTGCTCCCATTTAAAAATATTCATTAAGGCTTGAATATAGGCTGTGTCTAAGTAGCGTCATGACTGACTAAAAGGGGAAAATACTTTTTTTTTTTTTTTTTTATCTACATGGTACGTAACATCTGAAGAGTAAGCTTTTCTTTCCTGTGTTGGCTCTGTGGAATGTGGGATTGTGAAATAACGACTTGATAATTTGGCAGTTTTATTAAAAATAATTACTTTGTTTCAGTCATCATAATATCATCTTTATAGTTTTGAGAACATGTAGTCAGGAAAAAAATCCTTCTCTGATATTGATCTAGAGCAGAAAATGCGACGATCCGTCTTTTCCATCTCTAATTGGGTTGATTTCCTTTAACACTGCTTTGCAATGAAAATATGAAAACATGAGGTATATTTTTGCTGCTTCAAATAATTGGTTTTGCTTTTTGAGCATGCTATTTGTAATTTCAAAGAATATTTCTTTCTGAACTTCTTTGCTCTGAGGAGTTTAGAGTGGTCTTGAAATTATAGGTGTCTATTAAGTATTTTTCAACTGTCAATTCAACCGTAGCCGCCGTGCTATTAATTCATTATGAAGTGACACAGGAAGAAAACTCGTTATGTGATAATGTGAAAACACATATTTGTCAAAAAAATAAATAAACCAGCTTGTATTGAAAACCCATCTGCTGTGGTGGGAGTGAAATGGTTTATTAGACACATTTGGGCATGACACCACCTTTTCAAACAGGAAAATATGTAGAAAAGATTTCAGCTCTACTCCTTAGACGTTCTGTATTCACCTAAATGTGTTATTTTTGTCCCTTACAGGTGATATTATACCCAACTTCTAATAGCTCCAAGTCAGCTGAGTTGCACCGAATGATCGTTCCAAAAAATAGCCAGGACTCTGACTTAAAAATCAAATTGGCAGTGCGAATGGATAAACCACCACATATGAAGCATAGTGGGTGAGTGTACTTGAAGATGTTTTTCTCCTGAATTATTGGATTTCATTGTATCACTTTTGTCATTTTACTGAGAACCTATATATCAGACATTCACATGGAGTTTTTCCCCCCAAATTACATTAATAGGTTAACTTAATTTTTTAAATCTGTAGACATCTTTATAGCTGAATAATGGGTACTTGGTTAATATAACTGATCGCATGCTAACACACTATTGGTACTTGATTGTGTTGGTATTGTACATCACTTATATTGATAAAGAACAGTGATGTATGGAGATAACGTGTAAGATACATTTCAAAATACAGTAGTAGTTGAAACAAGCCTAGAATTCAGATCCCCAGAAATAGTTAAACCTACATAGACTGCATTAGAGTTTAATGGTGGTTCAGATATAACCCAGGAGGCTGTACAAGTTTTGACGGGAGGGGCGTGAGTGTTCATTGCAATATGTGAGTGAGAAACTAGATCGATACCGGAGGAAACTGATGTTGGTGGATAACCAGAAGTGCAGGGCCTGGGCCCTGGGGATTGCTGTGGGTCGGAGTCAACTTCCATCTCCGAGATTCTTTTTCCCTTGTAGCTGATGAGGAAACAGGTCTGAACTCCTGAATACAATTCAATGAGTTTTTTTAAAACCCAGGTCTTTCTCAGATTAATACTTTAGGACTTGCTACAGCCAAATTCTAGCATAGGGGTGTTAGCCACTAGGAAAGAATGTGAAGACTTTTCTTACTAAGGAGAGAAGCAGTTGCTAAAGTGTCTCATCCCAAGTTTAGCAGCAAATCTAACAGTCTGTGCGCATTCCTGTACAGAGGGGCATCTTCTGCTGGCTTTGGAGCCAAGTCACTAGCACTGTAGCAGAGTTAACTGGTAAGTCCGCAAGATAAGGATTCTTTAGATGACTGTTAGGGAAAACCAGGTTATGCTCTGAGCAGAAGGCAGCCCAGATGTATCTGCTAGAGCTGGGATGAGACTCTAAGGACCATATTGCTTCCTTGGTTTGGGTGGGCAGTAGTGTATGCAGTGTCAGAACTAGTCTCACTTGGGGGAAGAAGACCTCAGCGGGTGGGCTCTTAGAAAGGGAGCAATAATTTAGGTATCCCACAGTATGGCGTCTTTAATGTAGTAATGCAGAGTCTAACTATGACTCATGATGCAGATGGAGTTCCTGGGATTTAATACTGAGAGTTCTTTCTTCCCACTTCCATCTACCTGCTCACTGTTGATTTATGCAGCAGACATGGATTGAGCACTTCCTCTGTGCCAACCAGAGCAAGCCTCAGTGAGATACCATCCCAGGCCTGAAGGAACTGGCTAGCCAGGGATTCAGGCTTGTGTACGAATAATGATAGTACTGAGTGATAAGCGCTACAAGAGAGGAATGGGAACGGGTGGAAATAACACCTGATTCTAGCTGGAGTCAAAGAAAGTCTCACAAGACAACTGACTTTTGAGATGAAGCTTGAGGGGTGAATTCAGCAGGTGGGCAGTGGGGAGGAAGGGCAGTCCAGCCACCAGCCACATGGCATAGCCTATACATAGGCAGGAGATCTGGAAGGGCTGTTAGCTAACCGTGACAATTTTGATATGGCTGGAGAGTGCTTTAAGACTAGAGAGAGTACTACTGCTCTAAAGTGCTTAGAGACTAGTAGAAACTAGAGGGAGGTAAAAAGGAACACATTCTCTTCCAAACATTGTAGTTATTTCCCTACTCTTTTGAACTCAGCCTCTTGATGAATAGTACAGCAAGAAATGGGAACCTATGCACTGTAACGCCAAGATGGCCCCTGATTTACACATGGGCAGCCCTGTGATGAATACCCTTTGAGCCTTCAGATTGACCCAAGAACCAGGATTGAATATGAAGTTGGGCACGTAGCAAGTTCTGAAGCCTTCAGCTCCCGTGGAAAGAAAGCTCTGCTCTAATCCTTGGCATTTTCTTGCTCTAAAATGCTTCAGGGCAAGTGGTACAATCTAGCTGCTTTCTAAGACTTGTTTTGTTTTGTTTTGTTTGCTTTTTTTAATCACTCCTTTGCAACGAAGGAGAATTGGTTTGTATCACATCTCAGAGACCTTTGACTAATTTAGGACCCCCAGAATGGTTCTGGAGTTGACTTCTGCCCAAGACCATGGGTGAAAGAGATGACTAAAGAGAATATCTCATAGTCTCTGAATTTAATCTGTAAAGCTCGAGAACTATTGTGACCTGCCTTTACGAAGATACTAGCAGGCATTGCCAGACATTTGGGTAACTGCAGTTTATGGTATGTAAAAGAAAGAAATTCTAGAATTGAAAATATCTGTGACGTTGTTCTGCTAGTTGGTGTGTTATGGAGCATAATTAAGAATATCATATTTCCTAATAGTTATTCAAAAAAGCTATGTAAGACCGTTACTGAATGTAATAATGATCAACCAGAATTTCAACATTGCTATAATAGCAATTTATCACTATGGGCAGGGACCACAAGCACCTGTCTAGGTTTCTCAGTGCCTGTGTGGTAACAGTTTTAAATATTTTGAATATCACCCCTGTGTTTAGATGTATATGGGAAAACATGACTTGACACACACATGACAATCCTAACCTTATACATCTTCTTCTGTGGTGCTTCACAGATGGATTTTACTGAAGCCCCAATTGTTGCATTTTAAAATGACCTTTTTTGAACCAGAAGGAAAAATATAACCAATCTAAAGCTCATGCTTCTGGTAATTAATCAGTCCATGACTATACATTATAAATTTTTAATAGGACTGACTACATGCAAATGAAAATAGATATTTAATTTGGATAACATAAGCATAATGACGACTCATTCATTCAAAGCCAAACTAAACATTACTATGTGACATCTAGCTAGTAAAAATTTGGGTTCATAGGCTTCCCTGGTGGCGCAGTGGTTGAGAGTCCGCCTGCTGATGCAGGGGACACGGGTTCGTGCCCCGGTCCGGGAAGATCCCACATGCCGCGGAGCGGCTGGGCCCGTGACCCGTGGCCGCTGAGCCTGCGCATCCGGAGCCTGTGCTCCGCAACGGGGGAGGCCACAAAAATGAGAGGCCCCCATAACACAAAAAAAAAAAAAAAAAAAAAAATTGGGGTTCATTTGTTCTTTGGGGGTATGTCATATAAACTAATTACATAAACTCTTATATAAATCTGTTAAATGAATTTCCAGCTAGGTTTTGAGTGGTTAAATAATTCACATTCAGCTTTAGAATTTATCTTCCTTCTTTTTTTGGGTGGCTGGAAGACAGAAGTGTTCGTGAACAAATGGACTGTCCTTTAGCATAGCCTAGTGGCTGAGAGGCAGTATTAACTTAAATCTCAGAACTACCGTCGTCATTTTTATTAAATCATGTTTTCCTAATTCAAGTGTTATTTTCTCAGCCAAAAGAAAGGCAAAATAAAATGGGGCTAATAAAGCAAATGACTATTATGACAAATCTACAACTGAAAAGGAGAAAGATGAAAATTCAATTGCCACAAATATGTAGAAGCATTATGACCGGGATCTACGTAGTCTGTATGAAGCTGATTACTTTTATAGTTAAAAGAAAGAAAGAAAAAGAAAACTTCATGAGTATATAACTATAGAAGGATTATTTCACAGTTAAAATCAGTAAGATAAAATTTTAGCCAAATCACTACCATATAAATCTCATAATTCTCTGTGTGTAAAGTCATGCTTGGCAGTTTGAACATTTATTGAATGAATAGGTGTTTTGAAATACTTTGAGAGTATCATGTATAAAACTCCCTAATTTACATCGTAAAGGTAGAAAAGGCCCTGGGCCCATTGTTTGCTGCAGGGGCAAGACAGCATGTGAGCTTCCAGCAGGAAGAACAGCATAAGCCCCAAGCCGGCTGCATGATTGGTTTCGTGTGCTTCCCTGTAGAGAGGACCTGCCACGCATTCAGGGTCTGCTGTGTGATGCCTACGGAACCTTTCAGTCATACTCTTAATGTTCAAGTGTGGCATTTGCTCTAAAGTGAAATGACTGCACTCTAATAAAGTTGAATTATTTTGCTTATGACTTAGGGTTTATTATCTTCAAGTAGTTTAGGGGACAGTCTGAATACCAAAAGGAGGAAAATCTTATTTTTGGCAAAGTGGCACTTACTTACAGGATCTGGACCTTCCAAAAAAAACAAGTCGGGTTTTTTTCCCAAGGAAAATTGATTCCTCATTTTAAATCGACCTTTTAGCATGACTTTTCTACATGTCCTTGTCTAAAATAACCATGTTTTGACACCTCTGCATTCCCAATTTATTACCTCAATCTGGCTTACCCCAGTTTCATAGAAATCCCACTCCTTGTAGCCGTGCCAAAACTTCTGACAAAGTGTTTGCTAGTTTCTTAATAAATGATTGATTCTTTTTCTGGATACAGTTTTCAGGAGAGAAGCCTGTCTGTGGTCCTTTATAAACATTGATTTACTCATTGTAGAATGATAAAAATTTTCCAAATACCTTAATACTCATGTCATTTTATATATACTAATATAAATCATTAAGAGTTATGGTTTTCATTTTAATTAACTAGTGATTAATAAATTATAATGTTAGAAACATTTTCAAGCATAGCTTTAATAATTATTAAGCTAAATGTTTTAACTTGTTATACTCCTTTGCAAAACTTCTCTGATTTCTCCTGTGACAGATTAGTTTGTCTGCAACTTTAAGCTCAAACTGTGGCTTTCTGTTCAACACAGGATTTTTCTCTAGGAGGCTAACATCTTAACATATGTTATTTTCTTCTACTTTTTATGCATCAAATAACTATTCTCTTGCTTTTAGACACCCTTCAGTATCACATTTGGGCATCTTAAACGAAGGTACTTTAGGTCAAATAATTAAGGGTAGCAGATGAGTTCCTTTTTTCTTTATTTTCTTTCAGAAACCACAGACCATATTCATTGGTTATCTTAATTAATTTGGAGCACTTTTCCAAAAGGTATCGTGAAAACTATTTAGGAATACTATAAAATTTTA